ATGGAAAACAGCACAGAGTTTCCTCAAAAAATTAAAAATGTAACTGCCATTTAACCCAGAGATCCCACTTCTAGGAATATATCTAAAGAATCCCAAAACAACAATCAGAAAGAATATATGCACCCCTATGTTCATAGCAGCACTATTCACAATAGCTAAGATATGGAAACAGCCCAAGTGCCCATCAGTAGATGAGTGGATAAAAAAGCTGTGGCACATTTACACCATGGAATACTATGCAGCTGTAAAAAAAGAAGTATCTCTTACCCTTTGAGACAGCATGGAGGGGCCTGGAGAGTATTATGTTAAGTGAAATAAGCCATTCAGAGAAAGACTAGTATCACATGATCTCACTGATATGTGGAATCTACTAAACAAAATAAACTGACAAAATAGATCCAGAGATGTGGAACAAACTGACGTATCTCAGAGGGAAGAGGGGAGGTGGGGTGAGAAGAGATTAACCAAAGAATTTCTATGCATATATGCATAACCCATGAACACAGACAATAGTGTAGTGGAGGCCTGGGGTGGGGGGCAAGAACTGGATGGAGGGGGTCAATGGGGGACATCTGTAATACTCTCAATAATAAAGATTTAAACAATTTAAAGAAACATAAGGATTATATACTAGAAATATATAGGCAATCACTGACTTACATTTTGTATATGTACACCTTTCCTTGGTTAGGAAGAGTCCAAGGTATGTTTAAATGCTCAGAGTTAAATTTGGTGACCTTCCTCTCTTTTTAATCAAAGAATACTTAGGAGCTGCAAGGGGTCACCCTTCCTTTTTCTTGGGTGAACATGGCTGGGTAGATGTGGGCCATGGTCCCGGGTGCTTGGTTGTTACTAATCCGCATAAGGAAAGGCTGTTGGCTTCCATGGAGGTGAAACACCCCGAGGGTTCAGATTGGCAGTGTGACCGAGGAAAACAGGCAGCCCTGGATCCACCCCTCTTTCTGCTTTTCCAGTTCTCACACGACTCAGATGCTTTCACTTATTCTGCCAATTAAAAAGTCACATATGAGACTTCAGCTTGCGCTGATCTGGTCCACATTCATTATTACTCTCTCTTTACAGCCAGTGGGGGAGGCTGCTTTTCCTCAGCATGACTTCGTTTCAGGAGTTTTTAATCGTGCAAACCATCTCTAGTGGTTTCTTTTTGGATGCGAATGTAAACCGTTACCAATGGTGAATTTCACCCATCTATTAAAAATAACACCTTATGTAACAATTGGCTGTAAGCACTACAATAGAAAGGATGTAAGTATTTATTTAATGTCACACTAAATTAGCTTGATCTATACCCCTACTTATTTCCTTTTGGAATGGTTGTTAGGCTCTTGCAGAATCCAACTGTGAGCCGCCCTGGGATCTCAAATAGCAGGCAGTTGAAATCACTTAGAAATCAAGAGATGATGTACAGTGGGGCCTTGACTTATGAGTGTCCCGACTAATGAGTTTTTTGAGATACCAGCAGTCTCTCGGCTGATTTTTTTTGCATTGAGTTGATAGAGTAATTTGAGTTAAAGAGCTCGGTCTCAGAATGAATTAAACTCGTAAGTCAAGGCCCCACTGAACTTCCATTATATTTCATGGAGAATTCGAAGATCTCAGTTCTCCCATCACTTTACTCCTGCTCCTCAACCAAATTATGTAACCAAACCATGAAGTCATGAACATCCTGTAATTTTCATTACATGTACAAACCCCCCCAAACTCTTTAAATGATACACTGTAAACTCAGTATACTGACCATCCTATGCTGTGAGACACAAGAATGATATGCTAGTCAAGGGCACAGACTCTGAAGCCAGTCCGTTCTTTGCGATGTTGGGCTAGTTATTAAATCACTATTACTGTGTCTCTTTCCTCAGATGGGAAATGCGGACCACAATCATGGTACCTACTTTGAGAGGCTACTGTGAAGATTCAATGTCTTTAGGCATCTATGCTTTATTTAGAACAATCCCTGGGACATAGTGAGTACTACCTGAATGTTCACTAATATTTTATTTTTAAAAGGAAGTGAGTCCTTGGTGTGCCTGTGTCCCTTTGATGCTGTGCCACATGCATTTGTCCTTCTCAGCTGACCTTGTCATCCCACTCCAAGAAATGCAATGATTTATCACATCTGTTCTATAGTGAAACTTAAATTTTTAAAAAAATCACAGCATCTTAGCCAACTCTCCTTAGGGAAGGCTTGTCTTGAGGAGTACTCATGGTTCCTGGGGGTAGGATTTGAATTTTTTCCCTCTCAAGTCACTAAGTGGATTACAATGTTCCGGATAACTAACTAACTGCCTCCAAATGCTTGGTTTCATTCCTCACTCTATGACGGCCTTTGGGAGATGATGCAAAAGTACCAACATCTCACCAAACTGCACAAATAAATATTTTAACGCCAAGCTTTTCTGGTCCACATTTTAAACTAAGTAAAACCAAACATATGAGTACTGACAGCTCTTCAGAAAATTAAAGCGTGTTCTAAAATATTAACTGTGAATATCACATGGATATAAAAGCTTCACAATAGGGTCATGGCATCTAATCCTATCTAATAAAAGACAAACAGGGTAAATGACCGTACCTTCGCTACACTTCCCATCGGCTAATCAGGGTGATATGCAAATTAACTGCCAAGAAAGATGGCGGTTAATTTGCATATGCAGGCGCAATGATGGGAGGCGAAAGGGGAAGGATGGAAGAACGGTGATTGGAAACCAGGCGGCAGGCAAGAGCGGGGTGGCAGGGCCCTGGATTGGAGGACCGGGCGGTTCGCCTGACCCCAGCCGGTGATCGCGATCGGAAAGCTGGGCCACAGGCAAGGCGGCACCCCCGGGACCCAGGAGCCACCTTGCCTGTAGCCTGTGATCCTGATTGCAAAGTCTTGGAGGCAGCTCGCTCCCGCCCGGGGCCCGCAAAGGCTTGGAGGCGGCTCCGGCACACGGACAGGGACAGGGACAGGGGGCTGGCCTGCAGCCTCCACAGCTGAGCGCAGGCCCGGAGAGCAGACGGCAGGCCTGCCTCCCGCAGAAGCAGTGCGGGTCCCTTCCGCCTCTCACGGAATCTGCACGAGTCCTCCATGCTCCAGCAGAAGTGGCGTGACTCCCTCCTGCCTCCGGTGGAAGCAGCGCAGCTCCGGGCGATGCACTGCGGTTCCTGCCAGCTCCCGTGGAAGCAGTGGGCAGCCTACTGTGCAATATTGCGCAATGGGCTACTAGTTTATGTAGTAAAAATCCATTGTTATTCTTAGTATAACTATTGTCATTTTTTTTAAAGCAAAAACAAAACAGCTATCAATCCAGATGGTGGGTAAGGAAATAATCCAATAGTTTATATTCAAATAAATTAAAGTGTTTTTAATGTTATAGGAATTACTATTATCAGGAAAATTCTTTAATTAGCCAACTCCGTTTCCAGAGATTACAGATAACACTGTTTGATGTGTTTGTCTTGATCTCATTTCAAGAATCATCATTGACTCCAACCATTGCCTCTCAGGCAGTTCCAAATTTACAAAAAAAGTTGAACTCTTAAGTTGAAAATTATTACACTAGGCTAATTTTAACACCATAAAGGACATTTAAACAAATCAAGGCACTTCGTACCCATAGTGCTTTGTCTGGCTGTGAGCCTGACCCATGTGATACCATAGAAAGCTGTGTTCTAAACAAATCAGTAGAACTGAGTACATCTAATAACTGTGCTGCTGGCATTTAGGTACCCTGTCATGGTAAATAACACTTCGGATTTTCTCTGTGGACTCACTGCTTCCCTAATTCCCAAGCGATGCAGGTTTAGTTGGAATGAACCCCACTACCAGTCCCCTGCATGTGGCTTGATTGCCTTAAGATCAATGTATATCACCCAACTTCACCAGTGGCCATTGTGATTGGCTCAGGGATGGGCACACTAACCAACCAGGACCAGTGATGACCTTTGCTAGGCATTCTGAGGAATAACTTTTCCCTCTTCTATGTGTGAGCAACCAAAAAGAAAAATAAAAAGAAAGAATACGTGCGCGCGCGCACACACACACACACACACACACACACACACACACGCACACACACACACACACAGTTTTCTCTCCTTAGAATGGAATCTCTCTTGCCGCTGAATGAGTGATAGGAGACTAGGAGGTCTGGAAGTGTGGTATCATGTTGATAAGAAGAAAAGAAATGCTGGAGGTGCTGGTGCTGGTGGTACTGGTGATGGCGGTAGGGGGGTAACCAGAACCCTGTGGAGCCTGACTTAGAAGACAGCCCCAGAGAAGCCAGCCTCTCTAGGCAGGAGGTGGAGAGACCTGAGCCCTGGGAACGTACTGGGAACTTTTAAGCTTCACTTAAACTGGTCAGAACCCTGGACTTTTCAGCTACTAAGTCAATACATTTCCTTTACTGTTTGTCAGTTTGGATTGGGTTTTCTGTTTCTTGCAACATAAAGAGCTCTAAACAATGCAGGCAAAATGGCCTGGCCTGGTGAAGAATGTTTGGGCCAGAACCAGTTCTCCGGAGCCCCATGGTGCTACCTCCACCGTGATGGGGAACGGGAAGGAAGCGAGCCACGGGGAGATTGTCAGCGCGTGACACAGACAGGCGAGAAGTGCAAGGGTCCTTCCATGGAGAGGCCAAGGAGGAAAAGGAAGAGCCCCAAAGACATAGCTTGCGAGTTAGGCGTTCCTGCTCAGGCATGCCAGAGAGGAGAGGTAATGCCCAAGTGGGCATTACTGTTTTAAACAATGACTAAGTAGCAACCAGGTGTTTGTGAATTAGAGGCTGCCTGATTCTCACAACTGGTTGGTAAGGTAATTATAAAAAGTTTTCTGGTTAATAGAAAAAAATTGGTCCTCAATGAAAACTACAGTCTCCATCTTTTAAAAAAGATTGCTTATTTTTTAATTTTGATAAAATAGATTTACTTTGTAAAAAAAAGGGGGGGGGCATGAGAGTGTCTATTTTTCAGGTTAGTCTAATCAGTGGACGCTAAACCAGTTTTTAAAATAAGCACTATATTTGTTCACTTGTCATTTCTGAGAGCCACATTCAATGAATAACAATTTCGTTAAACTCTTAGGGTCACATTCAAATGTTTAGCCTTGATTTTAATATTAGACCTGAGATATTTCCAGGTGCTTGCTCTTATCCACAAATTATTGTTCTGCCTTGGTAATAAAATGGAAAGGAAACAGAATGAGACCTGGGGGAAAGGGAAACATTTTTCTAGCTTGTTATGAAAAAAAAAGAATATTCTTTCTTTGTCCATTCTGAACTTAGAAATCTATTTTTTTCTATATAATACTGAAATATTTAACAATTCATAAAAAACCTAAGCAGTTACATTAAAATATAACTTTAAATACAGCCTGCAACTTTTACCAGGAACCTTGTAAAATATGGTGAATATACATGCGTGAATACTAAAACAAGAACGACCATTGAACATTCACATGGAAAAGCAGCATTACATACAATATAATAAATACCCAGGAAATCAAATCCACAAGTTGATCATTATTCTGATTTAGATTCTTTTTTTTCAGTGAAGACTTTCTACACTTTTTGTATAATTTATTATAATAACTTTACAAGTTAAACATTAATTAAAAACAGAATTCAACTAATCTGACTGCTGAAATAACACAATCCCCAATGTTTTGCAGCATATTTTAAACTATAACACTTATAAAACTGATATTTTGGCAAGAAATACACATCCATATAACTAACTGCTCAATTAGCTTCTTTTTCAATATATATAAAAAAAGGCAGAATTGATAGTATGAAGAAAAACAGAAGCTAATATTATTTCTGAGATAATTTTATTGCCTTAGCTCTTGGGCTTTGGCAATAAATGTCTTAAGTTTTAATATATATATCATATAATTTAAAAACTGTATTTACAAAATATAAAACTTTTTAAAGCAAAATTCTATACAAAATACTGTTTTTATACGTTTCAAGGGTGTTTTACCCCTAATTTCCCACATGCGTTCAGGCTCCCTTCCTCAGACAGTAATTCAGAGCTGGGTTCTTAATAATAGCGGCTGGTCTATGATTAAAGTCTGAAGCTGAAGATCAAAGTTTACTCCATGCCCTACTGAGAGTTACTGAGAAATTCTCCTGATTAAAATCCATTTAAAATCCAAATTATACAAAATTCACTTTGTTAAATTTTGATTCTTTCCTTTTGTCATGAAACCTACCAAACACTTTTTAGGAATATTGTATCACTTATGAAAATTCTTTTTCATAGCCTTTCTTTTGAAATGAAAGAAAGCACCCACCACTTCTGTTACCTTTTCAACATCCGTTTCTATGCACAGACATATAACATGATTTCTTCATCTAAAACGCTGAGAGAGCCCTAGCTGGTTTGGCTCAGTGGATAGAGCATCAGCCTGCAGACTGAAGGGTCCCAGGTTCGAATTCTGGTCAGGGCACATGCACGGGTTGCGGGCTCAATCCCCAGTAGGGGGCGTGCAGGAGGCAGCCAATCAATGATTCTCTCATCATTGATGTTTCTGTCTCTCCTTCTCCCTTCCTCTCTAAAATCAATAAAATATATTAAGAAAAAAAAAATAAGACGCTGAGAGAATAAATGAGATTCACCTGTTCGCTTCTGGCTGCTATAAGAGGTGTCTTTTAAACATGACTAACAGTCACCCACCCCTATTGAGTTCCATAACTGAGTTCCATAGTCAAGGATCTTATCCTGAAGATGGACCAGATCTTCTACAGGAAGGTTCTTTCCTGCTCTTTCTTGCTTAGGAGACAGATGATCTTCCTTGCATATATATATATATATATATATATATATATATATATATATATATTCCCCCCCCCCCCAAATCACCAAATTAGGAACCCAAAACTTGTAGAATTCCCCCAAGTCCACATGCTCGGTGTGTGACTGGACGTCAGCCAGGTAAAGGGAACTCTGGGAGGGTCCAAGGATCTTGGGTTTCGAGGCCAGAGTGGACTTCACTAGCCCTGCAAAGTGGCACTCCACTGTGGTCAGTGAGGCGTGGTGCCCACGGCTGGACAGAGTGGTTACTTGCAGGTGTGGACGTCAGTCATGCTTTCACACCTCCTGCAGCGAACGTAGCAGCACCAGATGAACTTGCACTCGCACCTCTCCACGTGTCTGACCACGTGGGTGTTGTAGCCTCGGCCACAGCAGAGGAGGTTGCAGCCACCCGCGCCCTCCGACGTGCGGTTGCATTCTCTGCCCTGTGTCCCCGGGATCCCAATTTTCTTATCCTCTACACAGTAGTTGGGAGACTTATGGATGTAGAGCAGATCCTCCTTGCGGATCGGCACTTTCCGCTGGTCCTTTTCTCTCCTGCGCATTTTCCTTTTTATTTTGTCTGAGACTTGAACACTGTGCTCATATTTATCCTTCAGGAAATGGCCAATCTTCTCAAAAGAAGACATGGTTTTCCAGCATGTTTTCACCGCACAGGAGCCGGACACGCCGTGACAGCGGCAGTCCACGGACATCAGCTTGGCCACAGCCTGCAACCAACAGGAACTGTGTTAAATATCACTCACGAAGCGCGTTTTACTCAGTAACAGAAGCAAACTCACCTCATCACTCCACTTTCAGGGTCTGTTTCCGCCTGTATAAAAAATGATGGTTTTGAACATAAAGGATCTTCCAGGCTGCTTAACATTCAAGTGTTTTGTCCTCCTCTGGACCCTAGCAAACCTTTCCAAGTCAAATTTAAGCTAGTGGGCCAGGCTAATATTGGTATTAGAGATTAGAGGAAAACTACTCTTATTCCTAATATCTTGTTTAATTTGGGGTGTGGGGTCATGTTCACACATGTCTCCATGTTCCTAATACATTTAGCATCTTGCTACTCAGAGTGTGGTTCATGGACCAGCAGCGCCAGTATCACTTGTAAGGATTGCAGACTCTCAGAACCAGAATCCGCATTTTATTTAGATCCTCAGGTGACCCATAGGCACATTAAAAGTTGAGAAGCCCTGATAGGGAAGTCACCCTCAACTCACCATGTGCATGGGAACATCTGTGAAACCTTGCAAATAACCAATGCTCAAACCCTCACATTCAGATTTCATTGGTAGAGGTGGGCTCCAGGTGTTGGTATGTCTACAAAGCTGCTCAGGTGATTCTAATGGGCATCAAGGGATGAGACCTACTGACCGAATTGGGCGCTCTTAGGTCTGAGCACTGTCAATGCTGGGCAAAAGACGAAGGGGCCAAAGAGTGTGATTTTCCAGAAAATCCTTCCTCTCTTCTGGAAAATTAATTCAAAACATATGTCATATTCTTGATGGATTAGTAGCACCATCCTACCATAGAAAGGAGATAGCATCTACATGATTTTCCCCAATGCTATATGCTAAGCTTCGTTTATACAGACTGAGAAATTAAATTAGATTACATAGAGCTGTAAGAGCTCACCGCCTGGCACACATTAAGGTCTAAATGAACGCCCTCTGTCTCTGAAGAAGGTATGGTAAGAGTGCAGATAAATTGCAAATGGGGCTAACAGTGCAAAAACAATAGAGAGACTTAAAAAGTGTTAGGGTTCCAAACCTCTTACATACCAGGCTCGTCAGCACAGCTTCCTTCCGTCTCCAGAGGATGGCAGAGCAGATCAATAAATTGTCAGGGCTAGCTGCAGGGCTGACGTCTGTCAACGTGCTGGGTAAAGTGAAAAGCTGATCTGCCCACTCAGTAACCTGGAAACTGTGTGTGTAAGCTCACCCAAGAAAGGCAAAATCTCACAGCTTAAATCCCACTTACAGATCTCATCTGAACGGTAACATGACAGGGCTTTTATACTTTGCTATTTATTTTGTACCAAACATGACGCTAATATGTTTGCGGGATGTTACATTTCCTAACAAATTAACCAAAGTTTCTGAACTATCTAATGAGACAGGATATTTCAAACAAATTATAATATTTGCAACTTGAATGAGAGCATACGGCATTGATTTATGCAATAGTTGATACTTCTGACTGGTGTTTAAAATAATAAACAGAATGGTATTTTAAATCCCGTTCTTTATAGACTACAGCGCACATGTTCTTTTTGAGTTCACAAAACTGAGAAGTTAATGGATATGTCTACTTCTTATTAATCCAGGCAAAAAGGCATCTTTCAATGATATGAAGGCAAAAAGTATGGCACACAGGCTCATTTGGTCAAATTTATGGCATTTGATATTCACAAAGCCTTCAATTCTTTAAAATGTTGAAATTAATGCAATCTGTCTACTTCTGTTCAGATTTTAAGTGCCCTAAGGATATGAGGAAAAAAAGGGCTCAACCAAAACTAGGTAATAACAAAACAAATTGCCCTAAGAAAGCCAAACGTCCAAGGATTATATTTATGTGTTTAAACCTGATCAGCGTTCCTTACAGTCATCACCTCGTGATTTACAGCTGCCCTTGGCTCGGTATCATGACTGAAAAGCTGACTTTTTCTTTTATTAACCAGTTCAAATATCATGTATGACGTTGCCAATTTGCAAAGCGTAGCAGACAGAGTAGATGCTCTCCAAATATTTAATGAATAACTAGTCCAACTCACTTAAACAGTTTTAATTTATTCTCTATTGGTAATCTGAATTGGAGGTAGTAATAAAAACCACCTTTTTTAAAACAAAAGAGTCACTGCTGGGAGATCAATGGTATTGGAAGACCTTGATCCAATACCACTGTCAGCCCACAGCAGTGGTAGCCCGTAAGAGTGACACACTATTTTATGGGTTTGAAGGATAAAGAGACTGACTTCTAAATTCAATGATATAACCTGCTGAATCTCTGTCAAAATTTGGGGGGAATTTTCCTGCCATAGAAAACTAGCCCAGTTAAATATCTGGAGTTAACTATAACTTTTCAGGAGTGATGTTTTAAAAAACTTGTATTTGATTACCTTTGAATTCTATTACCTTTTTGTCCCTAACAAAAAGTATAAAAAAAGAAATAGTGTTTTTGTCTTACATATGTATATTTTAGAAGAGAAAGACAAATAAACTTCAAAGAGAAAAATCCCAATAACTGACATGCAATGTAAATGATTATATCCCCATAATACTCGAAGGAAGAAACTTGGACAATAGGGATTAAATAAAGCAATAGAATCACCACTACAAGAATTTGACGAAAGGCAGACAGAGTTCAGTGGCAGACACACACACACACACACACACACACACACACACACACACACACACACTAGAGCTTAGTGCTTCTCAGAGCACATTTTCATAGATGATTTTACTTAATTTCGTTTTATAGGAAGAAATGTAGGTAGTTATGAACATGTACTTATTATTCCAATTTTACAGAAAAATAAACTGTGGCTAAGATAGTTGTCATTCATAAGGAAAGCTTGGTGATACATGATACAAAATCTTTATATGAAGCTGGATCATTTTAGTAAAAGAGGGAAAAATGTAGTGGAACATGCAAGTATATTTAGTAAAATTGCATGAACTTCAAAAAATATATTTTGGAGATTTTCAGAGAGTATTAATTAATGTTTATAGCTATTCTTCAGTGATAGCATAGTCATTTTGGGGGGAACAGGGAAAGTAAGCGAGTAGCAACCAAATGAGTTGTGTGTGGTTATGAGAAAATTCCTTTCTCTACTCTAGTTGAGTAGTTAAGGTTTATAACGATATTAACAGAGGAATGTTTTGTTAACTATTGCAAACAGATGTGCACATTTTGATGGAATATTTTTAACTATGGGAGAACAATTAGGAAGGGAACATTTAATCTACTGGGCTCCTTTGTGTTAAGTTTTGGTTTGATGCACTTCTAGTGAAGTGAAATACGAAAAATGTATCGTTAATGCTTAAAGGTAAAAATAGAAAATATTTGAGAAGTGGTCTAAGGAGTGATTGGTCCCACAATTTTGACTCAGGTAACACAGCAGGCTGTGATTTTTTCCAATATATTGCTCTACACAAACTTCACAGAAATGATCAAAAAACTGTTATGAAACTTTTCATGATGAGCATTTCATTTTGTCAACTATTAGATGATTTGTTTAAATTTTTATGAAAACTGTGACATAAGATTGGATGAGTATAGGTAGAATATCTATTCCGCTCACCCATTTCATGCCATTTAGTCCAAAAATATACTTGAATCTGCTGAAAAGCAAAACACTTATGTGTTGTTCAAGTACTTATAAATATTCTTGAAACAGGTCAATGAAAATGTGGGGTTGGGCCCTTCCCACTTTTTTGAGTTAGTCATCATAAAACAAATTATGGGGTAGGAAAACTTAAAAGTTTATGAGGTGGACATGGGAAGAATGGAAATATTTTAAGCACACCAAAAGCAATACCCATAAATATTCCAAGTCACATTATTCCCAGAAGTTCTGCCCCTGGAAGACATCACATCATTCTGTTAGCCAATCGCCATGCGGCAACATTATTCTTGGAGTCATAACTTTAGGAATGGTGTCAGAAACCAAGTGGGAATTTAAGGTCAGCGGTTAGAAAATCATCTATCCTGCTCACAACACGACTAAGCGCCAGTACCCACATTTCTCTGAACGCTTTTCGACATTTGGAGTTTGGGATTTTGAGACGAGGGAAATCAACTCAATTGAATGCAGACCTTGAACTTGACTCAGGATGTGCCTATAATTTAAAATCCTATTTGACAGTATTGAAAATGGAGTTGATCGTTCTTCCATGTTAGATAATAACCTGGAAACCTGGTTAGTTTGTTGTGGTGGTGATGGTGGTTTTTATTCTTTTGGCCACCAAAAGGAAGAAAAATACAAAAATGCTTTCAATTGTAATACTTTATGAGAAAAGACCAATAAAAACACCAGTATAATACCTTCAATATCCGGGTAATGTTTTTTAATATTTTAAGTTTCTATCTATTTCAGTGATTTTTCAAGCTTTTTCATGGCATACATACACTAATTACCAAAATTCTGCAGTATAACAAAAATATATATTTTTAGCACATCTGACAAGAAAATAGGTATAATTTTGATTCATTCACACCATACGGCCATTATGTTGGCTGCTGTGATTTTTTAAAATTGATAATCTAAGGGAAAAGAGGTCAGTGCCCCTTATTACTAAATAGTCAGGTATTGACTGTTTTAAAAACTCTTGTGGCACATCAATTGAAAATCGCTGATCTAGAACACCGTGAAAAAAATTTAGTAGAGGAAGTTTAATTTATATAAAATGTGTATAATTGAATAAACTGAATTATTTTCTGCATAATTAAAGTAATAGCAAAAACCTAGCAAATGTGAGGAAATGTTTTTTTTTGCCAAAAAGGATTAAAATTGATGCTGAATAGTTGTGTACGTTTAATAAAATTAGATTATAAAGTAGCTTAAGATCCAAGTTAATAGTTACAAAAGCAAATATTGTTACATAATTTAAAAATTTACACAAGATGGAATAAAACTCAATAGTTGCCTAATATTACTAATACAATACATTTTAGAGATTTAAAGACATTTTATATATTCAGAGATGACTTCATTCAAGAGATCATAATTTGAGTTTCTGAGTTTTGTTTCCTGGTTAAAAAATTTAAAATCTCTAACAATTTATTTAACAAATATTAAAGGTTTAAATTAATAATAAACATTATTGAATTGTTTTCTTATTTTTTAAATATATTAATTTGACTTACCTTGATGCTTTTTTCTTGCTTAACTTGAGTTTTAAAGAACATATGTTAACTACATTTAACCTCTTTTATATTAATATATTAGAAATAATTAAAAATTTCTTTATTGGATAATATTTAAATTGCAGCAAAAACTAATTAATTTTTTAAAATATAAAACTTTAAGGAAAAGATGCATATGCATAACTATGGTGTTAAGGAAGAGTGACTTTAGTGAGGTAAATTAATTTTTAAAATTCTTAAACAAAAACATAAAAAGTTTACATAACTATTTACTAATTTCTACTTTGCAATTTTTAATTGAACATTCAAGTTGAATTGAAATTTTTAATTTGATGTGTTATGTGATATATTTACTGAGCTTTCTGTTTTTGTATTTTTAAAATATATTTTCATTGATTTCAGAGAGGAAGGGAGAGGGAGAGAGAGAGAGAAACATCAATGATGGGAGAGATCATTGATTGGCTGCCTCCTGCACGCCCCACACTGGACCCTGAGCCCGCAACTCAGGCATGTGCCCTGACTTGGAATTGAATCCTGACCTCCTGGTTCATAGGTCGACACTCAACCACTGAGACACATCAGCTGGGTTGTTTTTGTATTTTAAACCAAAGTGGTTAAATAAAGAAAACTGGCTGAAACTCTCAACTATTCTAATTGGGTTCCATTTATTCACTTTCCAAAAATGTGAAAAAAATGCAACATATACTTTAAATATTTGTGAAAAATATTGAAACTTGTTTTAATATATTTTAGGAGAGGTTGCAGATTGCAATGATACTTTGGGACTTTTATAGGTTACTGGGTATTTACAGTAGTATATGATGTATGCTGATATTCCTGTCCTGAAAAGATTATTATAAGATAGAAAATATATATTCATTAAGAAGTTTTAGCTGTTTTAGGAAAGTCACTATGAATAGCCAAGTAATTCAACTATGGTGTTGAACTCAAATTTTATTGTGTCAATATTTATTATGGTAAATATATAAAAGTTAAGTTAATTTACAAATTTATTCCATTTTAAGAAAACCTAGAATCATAAAAGAGGTTAATTAGATGGTGGTACTTCAAATTTGCTTCCTGCTGAAATATATCTATATTTCAAAATATCCACATATTTAATAGATCTAGAACTTCTTTACATTTATCTGTATTTATCAATTTTACAATGGATCTACATAGCTTTAAATAAAATAAATATTTCCCTTAAAAACTTTGTTTTAAAAAAGCATATTAGTTAAGTATCGTGCATTCCAAATGTATTTAAGAATGTTTGCTAGAGAAAGTAAGGGTAAAACGGACCACAGGACTAGGAGCCATTGCTCCCTAAAATAGATATAAAAAAATAATCAAAAGTCCAATTGAGGAAATTTGATCCAGTCCCATTAGAAAGGCGGATACTGTAGATCTTACTCAGGCTCTGCCCCTAATCAGCTAAGAGGGTGGAGCCAAAGAACCCAACAGGCACTTGAACCTGTATGATTTTACAATCAGCATTTCAGGTATACGAAGTATACAATCACAAATACATTCTATAGCAAGACTGAACTCACATTAGATGGAGAACTTAAAACTCCATCAATGCGGTCAGTACAGGCTCGTGAAAGAAAAACATGTATAAATTTACAGTCATACATACATAACAAAACATAATATACATACATATATACACACATAGATTTCTTAGACTGCAAGTACGGTTTGTTTTTAAACTGTTTGAACAGGTTCATGCACAAGTGTCGTCCCTGTATTATTTACCTAAAAGCAATGAATTTTATGCCATTTCCCAATACATACCTGCCTTCCAGCTTCATTGTTATGAAGGTTCATCGCTAACAGCACTTTGCTTTCTCTGCCCGTGGTGTTTCTGATGGGGAAGTCCAGGAACTTTCTGCTGAACCACATGCCGTACTGGACGTCATCCGAGCAGCCCCCCCAGTGCCAGCCTTCGCTGGCTGAGCCGCCGTTCTGCAAGGTGGTGTCACAGGAACACTCCGTCATGTTGCCTGCGCTGCAAGACCTTGTCACCGCGTGCACCAGGCCTGCAGCCATCACCGCGTAGATAAACGCTGTTTCCTTGGTGCCTAGAATAAGACGTAAATTGCTAAATGAGAGAGGCAGACCTCTCTGTTTATGCTCATAACAGAGCCTCCTACTCATTCTCTTGTCAGCGAAGCAATTTTTCAAAGGCTCCCAGTGGATGCTTGAATGAGTGCATATTTTGAAAGGAATATTTCCTATTGTGGTAGTCTTTTAAGAAAGCACCATTAATTTTGGGTTAATGTCCCTTTTGAGGGATCGTCAGATATTGGTTATCATAGTTCTCAGACGTAAAAAGACCTAAAATATAAAATTTATGTCGGCACCTAGTTCAGTGGCCCAATAAATACAGGTCAAATTTAAAATCCTTTGCGTGGATACCGGTAAATGGTATAAGATGCCCCCGAAGAGTCCAGATTACCTTTCTTTTAAAATTTAAAATGTGTTCTCACAAAACACAAGCTGGAAAATTTGGTGCAGTTTTGTTCGCCTGAGTAATACCTATCAGAAAGCAAGTTAAACTTAAACCAAGATCAAAGCAATTAGGTGATAAATGATACATGTTTAGTTTCACATTAAAGACTCTCCTTTCTTTAGAATAGCGTTAAAAACAATCCTGATATTAACCTGAAACCATTATACACTTTATATAGTACTAGCTAATCCTCTTACAGGCTTAAAGATAATTAAAATGAAAAATCATTGAAATGTCACCAGCAAAAAAAAAAAAAAATTGTTACGTAAAATAACTGAATATGTCTTTAGCACACGAGCAATAGCGTTTGGGCTAACACCTTTAAAAGTTAAAGGCCTATGAAAGCATCAACAAAACGGACTCAAAGAGACTCCGCAGGCGACTTTTTTTTCCCTTTTGAGATGTTTAGATTGGAGTGGAAACAATTTCGCGCCCGTTGACCAATAAACCTCTTCAACAGCTGATGCCTCCGCATTTCAGCAACTGTGAAGAGCACATCCTTTTTCATTCCCCCCGCAGGGGTCGGGGCTCCTTCGGAAGGGCGTGCGGGCCAAAGCGCAGCAGGGCCCAGGCCACGCCGGGGCGGCTGCGTGTGTAGGAACCGGGTGGGGAGGGGTCAAAGGTGCAGGGAGAACGGAAACAAATGTGAAAAACAACGAATCTTTCAGCGCCCAGGTCCTAAAACTCCTGGCATCTGCTAATATTCCTGGAACAACCCCGATTCCCTGTTTTTGTTGTTATTTTTTTTTTATCTTTCCCGAGTCACCAGGCACCTGGGAGTGGAACTTAATTCACCGCAGTTTCCCGCCCCCGGGTGAGCGCAGAGGAGGGCAGAGAAGGGAAGAGCGGAGTGGTCGCGCTCTGGTTGGCGGCACGTTGGGTCGTCCAGGACAATCCCTTTAAAAATCCCCATTATTCCGTCTCCCCGGTGCTCCGAGGAGCCAGCAAACGCGGCCACCGGCCGCTGGTCCAAGGCCCGGCGCGCCGCGGAGCTGCTGAAATCCCAGCAGACGCGGCCGCAGCATTCTCTGCCGCCGACATCATGTTTCTCCAGCTGGTCCCCCAGGTAGGGGGGCGAGGCGGGTCCGAGGGGTCGGCGGGGTTCAGTGTCAGAGTTTTCCCTCCACTCCAGCCGGGCCCAGCGGGAAGGAGGAAGCACGCCGGCGGCCAGAGCCAGGCTCCGGACCTGGGGAGCCCCCCCCCCCGCCCCCATCCAGGACCGCACCTGCGCCCGGGGGCTGGCTCCCCGCCCCGTCCACCAGAGGACCTCTCGGGGGGACTGGGAAAGCGTCGGGGACCACACGAGCACCATCGATGTGACTTTACAGGAATCGGAGGAGGGGTCGCCCCTGTCCCGCGCCCGCCCCGGGGGTCCCGGGACTCACCGCTGCTCAGCTCGTAGCCGAAGAGGGGGCTGGCGGCCGAGGGGGCGGCGGCCACGCGGCAGTCCCAGCGCTCGTGGCGGAACTGGCTGCGGCACTCCTGGACGCCCAGGCGCGCGCCCTCGCGGATGCTGGGCAGCAGGTAGGGCTTCCTCTTGCACAGCTCCTTCTGCCGGCTGTTCAGCGGCAAGTTGGCGCAGCCCAGCTTCTCCGGGACCCCGAAGGAGGCGATGCCCAACCACCTGTAAGCAACGGCCGCCCCCCCATGCACGTCGCTCGCCTGCTCTCCTCCCCAATCCCAGATGTTTTCCCCCCCCATTGAGGCCACCCGCCCGAGGGTCACCGCCCCTACTCCCCTCGTCTTGGCTGCAAGTGCCCTGAGGCTGGGTACCCCATGTGCCACCGCCTACCCCGTGCGTCACCGCTGCGCCCCGATACTCACATCCAGTTTCCTTGGGCCCCGCAGGGGAACAGCGCGAGCAGGGCTGCCCACAGCGCGCACAGGCGGGACAGTCCCAGGAGCGCCGCTCGGTCCATGGCCCCCGCATGGATTCCCGCAGCCCCAGCCACTCCTCTTCGGCCCTCCCTGCCCCGAGGCCCGCCAGGCCAGAGGTCAGCTCCCCAGCACCAAGTTCTCCGTCGCTCTCCTCCTCCCTGCAGACAACATAAAACGAAGGCCAGAAGCGAGAGGGGCTCCCGGCGGCCTCCCCTCCCTCGCTGGGAGCAGAGCGAGGAGGCGGAGGAAGGCGCTGGAGGCTCTCCTCCCGCGCCCAGTTGGAGACGTGCGGGAGATGCGGGAGCTGCCCTCGCATTCCAAGGTGAGAAGCTGCCGTAGATGTAGCTCTGCCTCCATCGCCCCCGGCCTCTCCTCCCGCCCCCGCCCGCCCCCGGCCGCGCGGGGAGCCTGATTGGTCCAGCCGCCGCCCCGCACTCCTCATCCCCAGACCTCGGGCTCCCATTGGCGGAGAGCGGGCTCTGCGGGGGGCGCGGGCCGCAGGTCTCCCGCAGCGCGTGCAGACCCCGGAGAGTTCAAGACCTTTCCTGGCCCCGAGCGGGGTTTTTGCTGCGTGAGGGGAGTGAGCGCAACCCGAGGACTAAGAGGGGCGCTTCGGTCTCAGCAGCCCCAGGCGCGGGCGGGGGTGGAATGGGAGATGTTTGCGTTCCACCCATCCCGTTGCCTTTGGATTAATTACCCTCTGGGTGGAGCGGCTGGAAAATCTCACTGCCCCCGTTCCTTTCCTCTCCTGCTCCCCACAGGAGAATCATCTTTTTCAGTCAGAGTTGGTACCAAACAAGTTGACCTTTCAACACCCTGCTTGAGGTCCCAATGCGTCAAGAAGCTTTGGAGGACAGGACGGGAGAAAGGCCTTCCCATGGGGACCGACGTCATCTCCCCAAGCACTCATGTTTAGCCAAAGGAAGGGTGCAGCCTAGCCTCTAACCTACCGCAGTCAACCCGTGTTGTGCGATTTCCTTTCCCAGGGTTGTCTCCCATTCCCCATCCTTGAAAGCACTGTCGGAAGATGGAAGGCAGGAAAGAATGAGTGAAAGCTGTCTGGAGGGTTCTAGAATAGTGGGGAGCTGTGTCCTGACCCTCTGCTCCACTCCACATGATGGCTCTCTGGGCAGGGCTACAACTGAAGACAGATTTTAAAAACAGGCTTATTAAGCACCTACCATGTGGCCAGGAAGGACTGTGGGACATTAGAGAGACAAGACACAAGATCCATTCCCTCGAGGGCACAAACCAGCCCTGGAGAGGAGCCTACAACAAAATAACTGGAGATTGTTGGTAAAGGAGAGGATGAAACCCAGCCAGGTCCTTGTTGGCACCAAAGAGGACCCGGAAGCAGAATGTCATGGTGCCTGGCCTTTAGGAAGGTTGGTTAACCAGCTTTCTGCAGTCTCTGGGGACCTCTGAAGGCAACAGGACATGCTTAGCTGTGGGACAGCCCTGCCTGGCATAGTGGGAGACGGGAAGTGTTTTGCAGTGGCATCACCTGCTCCTCAGAGGACTTATGAAATGTTTGTAAATTCTCAGGTGAACAGAACAGCTTAGTGGGTGGCAAAATCCAGACTTACCCAAATAAAAGATCTTACTTGCTTTATCTATATTCATAAAATGTTAAAAGACTGACAGTCTAACCAGCCAGTAGGTATGACACGCACTGTCCACCAGGGGGCAGACACTCAAGGCGGGAGCTGCCGGGCAGTGGTGACTTGGCAACGGTTCACGGTTCTCGGGTAATACACCCCAGAACCAGAGAGGAGGGAGCCCATTTCCTCACGGGGCCACACGATTCCACCGGGCTGTGGGACCCCACCTGCTGAAGGGACTCCACTCACTCCACAGACGTCGTTTGAGCCGTGGTGCCACCCCAGCTGCAGCCAGCCAGGGAGGGACAGCGGGAGGTTGGCTCCAGGGAGTGTCCAGACCAGGCCACTGGTGGTTGGAGCCTCTATTATCGGCCACTTTCTAGTTAATTTCCTTTCAATGTGCACGAATCAGTGCAAAGGGTCACTAGTCTTCAAATAAAGGATTTAATTTGCTGCATATGTCCTATATCAGCCCAGAGCAATAAAAGCTCACTGAAATTCCCCTCCTATCTATCGTATTCATTCCTTTAGTCAACAAATATTTATTGAGTGAACACCATGTACTAGCCACATTGTAATTTTTAGAGTCAAGTTGATGATAGGGTGTAGTTACTGATCTAGAAATATTTTGGCGCCTGGCTAGTGGCCTCTCTGAAACTCAGAGCCTTCATCCAAGCCCTCTTTATTCTGAGAGCTTCCCAGGAGGCGTCTGGAGCATTCACTGCTGTAGCCCCGCCATTGGGCCCAGTACATGAGATCCTAGTTTTGAACACAGTTTATTGAGTGCATTAACATGATGAGGAACATTCTGAGCAGATATCTAAGTGGCCTAAATGATGAAACTAGAGAAGTGATTGCTCTGTCAGGGGCCTGGAGGAGGGAGGAGAAAGCAATCTCGGGACTGGGAGAGTAGAGAATATTAATACTCTAGGCCAGTGGTCGGCAAACCACGGCTCGCGAGCCACATGCGGCTCTTTGGTCCCTTGAGTGTGGCTCTTACACAAAATACCGACTTCGGCGCATGGGCCACAAAGTTTCAATCGCACTGTATGTGCGTGCTCGCACGTGGCATTTTGTGGAAGAGCCACACTCAAGGGGCCAAAGAGCCGCATGTGGCTCGCGAGCCGCAGTTTGCCGACCACGGCTCTAGGCTGATTTTAGTGGTAGATGTTTTAAAGAAGTTGTTGGGCTTGTGTGCTTTCTTTTCAATTGAAAAAAAAAAAAATATGGAGCCTCTATTATGAGTTAAAAAGTGGGGAATAAAACAGCTGTATTGTAGCGGAGTTCACAGTCTGGTTGGCAAGACAAAGTGAACAGGCTCTTACAATACAGTGTGATAACGGGAAGTACAGTGTGCTGTAAACCACGTAGAGGGATTACTTAATCTAGTTTGGGTGTGCAGGTCCCTTGAATTCTGCCTCCATTATGTCTCTAGGGATCCAGCACTGTCCAGACAGGCATTCTGATAAAGCATTTAGAGAGAACTCAGAGGATTCTGCTCCTACAGTCAAAGAACACTAGGCCAACCATTTTCAAATCCAGGGCACAACTTCAGGGCCTGAGTGGTGCTGTTTCTCTTTTGCATAATCTAAGGCCGTTGGGACATTCTGATACTTCTAAAGCAAAGGAGACATTTCCAGGAGCGGATGCAGCTGAAGAAGTAGGCTTTTCACTAAATGAAGATATTTGAGTGCCTACTTTGTGAGGGCATTATGAACTTCCATGCACTGAGACCCTCATATGTGCTCCCAGAGTTCCTTCTTATTTTCTAGCTCTGTTCCTCTCTCTTCTCTAGTTTTCTCTCCCCTCCCCTCCCCTCCCCTCCCCTCCCCTCCCCTCCCCTCCCCTCCCCTCCCCTCCCCTCCCCTCCCCTTCTCTCCACTCCCCTCCCCTCCCTTCCTCTCCCCACTTCCTTTCCTTCTCCTCTCCTCTCCTCTCCTCTCCTCTCCTCTCCTCTCCTCTCCTCTCCTCTCCTCTCCTCTCCTCTCCTCTCCTCTCCTCTCCTCTCCATTCTCTCTCTCTCTCCACACACACATTATATATAAAGAAATAAATTTGAAGAGATTAAGAAACTTGCTCAAGGTCACCCAGCTAATAAGTAATAGAGTCAAAAAAACAATCTTACTTTAGGGGTCTTATTCTTTCCACCATAACATACTGCTACATAATCTAAATCAAATTCTTTTTTTTTTCTTTGCCTAATCAAATTCCTGTTCACTGGGCTTCAGGGTCTAAATTGCTCTTTTGCATCCCATGGTTCTTTACATCACAGTTCAAGATATCTCCATCAGTCTTCTGTTTCCTGATAATAAACCAAATGCATATATTTTCATTTAATATATATTGAGCCTCTGTTGTGAGTTAAAAAGTGAGGGATAACACTGAGCTAAATGGTAGTGGAGTCCACAGCCGGGGTGGGTCTCCTGAGGAGGTCTCCCTCAGGCAGATGGCCGTCTCATGTATGCCCTTCCATTCCTTCCCCCCTCCCCCCCCCACCCACACTTTCTGTGGGCTGAGAGCTGAGAGGACCAGGGAGAAGAGCCCTGGGATGTCTTGGGGGGGCAATTAATTTCAATTTTGACCCTTAGTTGCCTCATCTGTAAAATGATCAAAAACTTCCCTTCAGTTCTGAATCTCTAACGGAGTTCCCATAGATATAGGCACCTGAAGCATCCCACAGTAAGCATCAGCTCACAGAGAGCTGTTTCTTTCTCTTTCTCTCTCTTTCTCTCTTTCTCCCCCCCCTCTCTCTCTCTCTCTCTCTCTCTCTCTCTCTCTCTCTCTCTCTCTCTCTCTCTCGGTGGGGGTGGGGAGGACTGCATTAGCTAGTGGCTTTGCACTCCTAGGAAGAGTAAAGTCTAGGCATTGACAAGCGTTTGTCTACCTGTGAGAGGGACCCAGTTCTCAGGTGGAACAGGCTAGCGTTTTCCGGCCCCCATCTTGTATCTTCGGTTCCACTTTTGCTTTTGGGTTTCACTGAAAATAAATTCTTTTAATTGCAGAAACCTTTTTAAAAGGTTGGACTTCGAAGTATATTATAATATGGCCAGGTCATAGGACATTTTATTTAGAGGACAAAAGAAAATGTGACGTTACAGATATTGTATTTATCCTGGACCATGAAAGTGAGGAGCTCTTTCAAAATCTTTTAATATACGGTGGTTCGCCCTAACCGGTTTGGCTCAGTGGATAGAGCATTGGCCTGTGGACTGAAGGGTCCCAGGTTCGATTCTGGTCAAGGGCATGTACCTTGGTTGCGGGCACATCCCCCGTAGGGGGCGTGCAGGAGGCAGCTGAATCAATGTTTCTCTCTCATCGATGTTTCTAACTCTCTATCCCTCTCCCCTCCTCTCTGTAAAAAATCAATAAAATATATTTAAAAAAAATATATGCAGTGGTTCATCTCTACTATCACTGGTGAGGCGTGTGCTCTTTATTGAGACTGGAGAAATAAAGTAAATAAGGGGTCAGATCCAAGCA